AGGGAGGCGAACTTCAATGACTATTCTTGTGTCCCACTTGTGGGATCATGTGTTCCACAGGTGGGATCTTAAGTTCCACATGTGGGATCGTATGTTCCACATGTGGGATCCTGGGTGTCACATGAGGGACTATATGTCCCACATGAATGATAGAAATCCAAAGCCGCCCATGTGTAACTTTGAATCACTAATGTGGGACGCCAATCCCACATGAGGGACTATATGTCCCACATGGGATATCCAATTTCCCACATATGTAATCTCACATCTCACATTCACTAATGTGGGACGCCAATCCCACATGGGGAACTCTATGTCCCACATGGGATATCCAATTTCCCACATGTGTAATCTCACAGCTCACAATCACTAATGTGGGACGCCAATCCCACATGAGGGACTATATGTCCCACATGGGATATCCAATTTTCCACATATGTGATCTGACGTCTCACAATCACTAATGTGGGACGCCAATCCCACATGAGGGACTATGTGTCCCACATGGGATATCCAATTTCCCACATGTGTAATCTCACATCTAATGTGGGACGCTATCCCACATGAGGGACTATATGTCCCACATGAGATATCTAATTTCCCACATATGTAATCTTACGTCTCACAAAGACTAAGGTGGAACGCTAATCCCACATGAGGAACTACATGTCCCACATGGGGGATCCAATTTACCACATATCACGTTCCACATGAGGGAGCTTATGTCCCACATGTGGGACTCTGGTCCCACATGATAATCTCAAGTCACACAGGGATGGAGTTACAGGTCTTTGATGGGTTATAAGACGTTTATATGTCCTTTATTCAGCTAAATCAATGTTTTTTTCTTTGTGAATATGGTGCAGAAGAGGTGTTAGAGCAGTGTTTTGGTGTTCCTGAGGGTGTTAAAGTTGAAAATTTTCTTCAGCCGCCGACGCGGCAGGCGCGTCAGCGTGTCAAAAGGGAGGTCTTCGGCTTATCACCAATGAGAATGATACATTTTCCTTCGGCTAGTGTCCGAAGTGTCGGGTAGGCACAGGTGAATATTTTACAAGTGACTGCAGAAAAAATGGAGTAAATATTGTGATAAAATGATTATAGATGACAGATCAATATAAAGGATTATAAAATTGATGAAGATATAGTGATGTATTTCAAAAACTGTAATACTTTACAAGTGACTGCAGAAAAAATGGAGTATTGTAATAAAATGATTATAGATGACAGATCATTATAAAAGTTTATAAACTTGATGAAGATTTAGTGATCAAAGTATTTCAGAAACTGTAAAATATGGGATCAGTAGTGTGTTTACAAGTGACTGCAGACAAAATGGAGTATTGGATTAAGATGATAATATATGACAGATTATTCTAAAAGTTTATAAACTTGTTGAAGATTTAGTGATTAAAGAATTTCATAAAACTGTAAAGAAGGGGATGAGTAGTGTGTGTTAAAGTGAAACAAGAATAATTTACAAGAGACTGCAGTAATCTAACCCTCCCTTTAGCAGAAGACTATGTGAAGACTTCATCATATTGTTGGAGGCTGGTGGTGTCAGTTGCTCAAAACTTTCAGGAAATTGCAACATGTTGTGTAGATGTAGAAACCTATTGAAGGAGATAGGAGAAGGCATTAGTAATATTTACCTTTAGTTTTTGGATTGTGATCACTTGTGGATGAGAATGATTTTTGCTTTTGCTTCTAAATATCATGTGTCAGTAATTTGCTGAGTTGATCAGGTTTTGGGTTCCAAAAGCAATGACTTGTCATGACCATTCAATGGATGATAAAAGAGCACAAATTGTTCATCAACCAAACACTGTGGCTCTAGATATGTTATACAATCAATAAGCTGATGGCTTTTGTTTTTCTCGTGGCTCTTATGATCTTATATATACTCAGAATACATTAACCAAGTATATACACTGGTATTTACTTTACTGATTTGCACAACATCATGATGGATTTTGTTTTTCTCATGGCTCTTATGATCTTATATATACTCAGAATACATTAACCAAGTATATACACTGGTATATACCTTACTGATTTGCACAAAATCATGCAGATGAATATATATACTCATGATATATTGATGACTTGGTTTGCTCGCATAACACATATAATAAGAATATATTAACTGATTATATTGAGGATCAACTAATGATATAATGCTGTTTTTAACTTTTACTTGCACAAGTTAATGAGAATGTATTAAATAATGAACCTATATTGATTACTTGTCTTGCTGGCATAACACATATAAGAATAATTTATTAACTGATTCCAATGAGGAACAACTAATGATTGACATTATTGTTTGTTGACTTTTACTTGCAAAAGTCATTGAGAAAGTATTAACTAATGATATACACTGTTTTTTTTACTGACGTCTGAACAACATATCACTGTGCGGAACTTCCAATCCAATTTTTATATTGGTATATATAATAGGACTTGATGTACGAATAACTGGTACATGTTGAAGGATTGACCTGATGACTTGACATTTCCTGATGTTGGATAAAGACCTGTTTGATTATCCCCATTGCATTCCTTTCCGTGATTCAAATGATGTGAACCATCAAGTGAGACTTTGAGCAAGTGGGCCATCCAGTACAATGTCTCACTGCTCAGCGTAACATCACTGAGCAGAATGTAATTGATGTGAGTTGTTTTTATCAAAACGTGCAGTACTGCAACGTTTAGTTTCTAACACCCAACAAAACAATAAAATCACATTAACATCAACTTGCAGCAATGACTCCTTTAGATTAAGATCGTCCAATCAATTAACATCTTGACTGCCACTCAGTTGTAGTCCCAATGTTTGTTTGATCACATCGGACCATTTTGATCAAATATCAAAATACGATGTTGTTCAAGTTGAAAGGGCTTCTGATGTAGTCAAACATTGTGATTTGCGGATAGAACAACTATCTTGACTAACAATTAATATGGTTAATCATGAAATCACACATATCTATTACAACGATATTTACTATGATTGCGCAATAGATCATATAATAATCATGCACAACGACTGTCAAAAAAACAATAAAACACTCTACAATGCATTTTGGTGGTTTTCTACAAGATCTTCAAGGATGTCTAAATCCAACAACCCCTCGTCCCCATCATCGTCGTCCTCCTCGTTAGGCATACCAATCATTTGTTCCCATTGTTTAGGCCAAGAACTGACTAACACTTGCCAATTGGATAACAAGTCGTGATCGAAACCATCAGGAAGCTGAAGGTAAGAACCTGTTCGCAACATCACATCCTCAATTCCGTTTTTCCATGTAATCCAAAGTTTACATGCCCTTTTCGCCATTCCCAATTGAAGGGAGAGTGTTATTGGATCAATACCTTTAAATGTAATTAGCAATAAATTTGATTTTTGTTACACGTTTTGTACTGATCAGGTGGCTTGCTGTTGCGTTCCAGGTCTCTCACCTTGCTTGAATAGCCTAGAGCCCACTGCAATTGCTGTCGCAGCTCTCGACCAATTCTGCGCATTTCCTCACGCGAGCTGCATTGAATCCGCCACGCGTCAATTCCTGATTTGGTCAATGGGTCAACAGCCCAATCCTCATTTGGATGAGTTAGATCGTCTATTTCCCAGAATGGATCATCAATCTTCATTCTATTAATAGACTCAAACAAGGGAGTGGGGACCAAGTTTGCAGGACAAAATGTCTCGTTGAACCGCGTAGCATGTCGCAGGTAAGTCCTATGGCAGCAGGCCAATTTTTTCTGTTTGTCAGACGTAAGACGCTGATATCGTGCGCGATTCTTTTGGTCTGCAGTTGTTTGGGTGGTTAGACCATGGTGAGATTTTGGTGGCTTAATCTTGGAAACATAAGAAACCACCCATACCGGTGGTGCCATCCGCTCGACCGCGCATTTCTATGCATTCAACCTTTGAATGGTACAGCTTGGACTTTGCAATCTGTAACAACATCAAGGGTTTGGCTCGGTTGTCTGTTTTTGCATTATTAGAAAGGCAAGTAACTCGTAATCAAATGAAGAAACTCACCCGTCATTCCAGTTAACTCTCAAAATTGATGGGATCCTAACAAATCGGCAACATTCTGTATTTGTTTCTCCAACATGGTCAGAGTTCTCGGCAAGTCCAGTAGCTCGTGCTGTTGTTCTTGAGTGCGTAACGGGGCTGTGCTTGCTTGCAAATTGGCCAGCTCGGTACTAAGTTGATTCTAATGTTTTAGAATCAACTACACGAGTTGAGATAGGATGGAAAAAGTACCTACTGGGCTTCAATCAAGTCTTCCTCCAGAGCCAATAGAACCTTCAATCGGTCTTTGAGTCTACGAGTAGTGGCAGTAATAAAGTTACGCTGGATGTGTCGCTGTTGCTGCCATTGTTGTTCAAAGAAAGTCGTGCTGTACTTAGGATTTGATTTGGCCAAATCAGTTAATGTTTCTGAGGCTTTTACAAGCCTCTTCTCTACATTCGTGGTCCAGGAGAGCATCCCTGACACTAGTTGGTGCGAAAGTGGGAGATCAATTGCTTGCCCTCATGAGAACACAATACAAATTGCCTACTCATTCTGAACAGCGCCTTCTCATTGTGATGGAGGCCACGTTCATTCAGTGATACCAGTCGATTTTGTTTGGTTGCGTATCGAAGCATTGCAACCAATACTCTGATGTCCAACCACACACGCTCACATCCTTCGCCGTCCGAGAGGCCCCAACCCTTGTTGAGCCGAGGGTTGTAGTCTAATTGGCACAGCCAATCATGCACATAAGCGTGGAAGACACTGGTGCCAAACTTTAGGCGTCCAGCAGCGCGCTCAGCAGCAAATTGTTTTCGATATGTATGTTGGAGACTTGGTCAGCCCATATACTGTTTTTTTAGAAACAATAAATCGAATCACATTCCTGACCCCCTTCTCAATGTTACAACCTATATCATAAAGTATGCCAACTCTTCGTTCGCCATCCGGATGATCAGAAGTGACTTCCAGGATCCAGTCAATGAGGGCCAGTGCGAAGTGACTCCTGTGTTATCAAAATGTAAAGTTATGTCAATAGCGTGAACCAACATGAAAAAAAAGATTGATACAAGCTGTTCTCCACTTTGTACTAAGTTCACAAATCTAATGATGTGATCATGGCGACATGCCATGACCACCAATCCTGTCTCATCCATCCCTGGGAATGATTTCTTTCCCCTAACATCGTCCGCTGCGGTGTGTTTGTCGGTACAGGGATCCTACATAGAAATCGATTGGGTTTACTCTGACCATTGGTATTGAGCCTTTATTAGAAATGATTGATGACTTACCACCAGTTCATCTAGTTGTGGATTGCGCGTGCCACCGCCTGCCATTGCCACTGCCATTCTTTCCACTCGCTCTGGATCCATGAAAAGCTCCTGCGGTTCAGGATTATGACCAGGGATTTCGTGGCTAGCAGCTAAGTGACGTTTATGTTGGAAGTTCCCGTCTATACATAATATGATGTGTGGTTCGTCCGGGTTTGGAGTTTTGTCCACTGGCAGACCAAAGCAACGTGGGCAGTTGCTGGCGAGCTGATCGAGTTGTGATAATTGCAGTAATTCGAGCTCTTTCTGTCGAATCAAACTGAGAACTTGTCGATGGGCTCGAACTGCATATGTCAGTGGCTTTCGCCATTGACGTGGCTAAAACATTCACAAGTAAGTGATAATATTGATCAGATTCAAAATGTCAAGTTGGTCAAACAATTCGAAACTTACCTGACCAGTCTTTGTACTCAGCATGAGTGGGTTTTTGGCGTCAAGGTATTCATCAAGAGCCTGCGAGAACCCGAGCATTCGAACACTACAATATTTCCATAGAATGTGGTGGAACAGCAGCAGCCGGATTGAAAAAGCTGTGCGAGGAAAAGATGGAGAAGCGGGAAAGTACCCCATCTGAATGAGCCTGACCACGTCCGGAAGGCATTTACAGAAGCTTATAGATAGTTTCCTGCGAGCTAAGAATCTTGTTAGTGGGAGTTTTCGTCTTCCTGATAGAGTATATACATACTTACTGTGTATGTCTACTAAGGTTACCACACGTGAGGACACTGCACAATGACATGGTACTTTAAAATCATGATTCCAAATTACGACATCTCCCCAATTGCTAGTTTTTTTTTGAGCAATGATATATGCGTCAACCATTGCCTGAACAGCGCTGGCCCATTTGGCTTCGTATGCAAGCCTTCGGGCTTGGTACAGGTTTGAGTTGAGTTCCAAAATAATTTGTCGCTCCTCTTCAGAAAGTTCATTAAATGGTATTCTTTCATCTTCATCAATATCTTCCCAATCATTATTGTTATGTGTATATCCGGTTTCATTCCTATCATCTATTCCATGTTCTTCAAAGTTGTCAACATTGTCTTCGTGAGGTGCTGCTGATCCATCTTTCCTGATGCCCAAAGCCTGAGTATCCGAAGTTTGTCTACGCACTTTGTTCATTTCCTTGGCATCTTTCTCCTCTTGCTTCCGAAAGGTGGCCTGCAGGTCAGTGGCTGGCCGCTTCCGCTTGTTGAGAGGTTTGTAAGGTGTTGGTTTTGGAGCCATGATTGAAATATGGGGAAAATGTAATGCAAGAAGATGAAAGATTAACTGCGCCAAATGAAAAAGTTCATTTCTGTTTAAATCCGTCAAATCACAGATGAATTAGGTTTGCACCTACAGATCTGTATGCTTACAGGTGTCTTAATCTTTTCAAATATTAGCCTCCTTGAAATCGAAAATCACTGCTGTGAATTGGTTTGTTTTACTGAATCAAATCGGAAATCACCTATTCATGAATTTGTTGTACTGCGCTTCTTTATTTTGTGAGACTCACTCTGCAAGTTACTAGCTACCGACTGCTGTGAATCGGTTTGTTTTACTGAATCATTTCATTTTAGTTGATTAAATTCACTTGATTCATTCTACTTATGAATTAAAGCGGAGAATATAATGTCAAATGTCAAACTCTGACCTGTGATTGAACAATCTCAACTTGTGTTTCCCAGGAATTACGAACATTTTGTCTCATTCATGAAATAATGAGGCAGACTTGTTTCTCAATGTGTGTTTCCCAGGAATCACGAACATTTTGTCTCATTCATGAAATAACAATCACGAAATAATGAGGCAGACTTGTTTCATTGCATCAATACAACTTGTTTCATTTCACTTATCAATACATAAAGCGAGCATTTGGACATGAGCATAACTCGGTAGGTTATAGTTAGCAACATATATGAGAATCTACGCATCATTTGTGTTTCTTTGCACTGAGAGTGCTGCAGGTTCTAGAAATTTGAGTTCTTTTGACACCACTCTGCGCTGCGACTCCTGTAACTAGATCTACTTTACTTCGGGTTCGACAGGGTGATACACTCGCAGTTTTCTTGATAGTGGATCTGGTGGTTCTGGCCTGTGGTATTGGAACTTGCAATGTATCGCCAACCGGGTGGGGTGAAATCGGAACTTTGTTGAATGATAAGCTGGGTAGCGTGCTGGGGACAGAGGCCTCCTGATCGATGTTTCTTGCATGGTCATGAGAGGAAGGTTCATGATGTTCGGCAGCACTATTAACATCGATTTCAGGTGTTGCATCAAGAACCTGGCAATTGGTCTGAACGCTTGGTTGTAGAGAAGGCTGGAGGAGATCTTCAAGAAGAAAAGAGTATATTGAATCAAAGGAGGGCTGATCATTCATAAGTGGCTGGTTGTTCATAACTGTGATGTTGAGAGCATCGATATCAGTACTGCTGGGCCGAGTAGGAGATTTTTCTGGTTCCTGGCAATACATAATACTGGTATCGTTATCTTTAACATGCAAGGGAGATTGAAATTGAATGAGTTCGTTGAATTGTTCTAAGTCGTCTAAAAGTTGTATAGCAGCGTCCTGTTTTTATTTAAAGTTCGGTTTTGGTTAGTGGATAAAAATCAAATGCTTACTAGGCTGATGAAGCAGACTTACTTGATGGGGGTCAGGAAGATTGGTGGGAATCTTATCTTCAGGTACATTACATACCGCATCAAGTAGTTTGTGGATTGATTGTATAATCTCATCTTGTTGAGAGGCCGTCATTGATAGGATACGGTTACTGATTGATAGCAGTTGTGATTGAAGGCTAGTGTCTATCGGTTTGTGACTTGGATCTAGATCAAGTGTTTGCTCGGCCTTTGGAAACTGAAGACAAGTTGTCAGCTCACCTGAAATGTACAGTATTAAAAAAAAGTACTGGACTCACAGAGGTTGGTGCAATGCTGGATGTGATATCTGGAATTTCCATTTCCATTGGCCCATGATTGTGATATGTGTTCTCGTGATGGAGAGTCCAGGTGCGTCGTTCTTTGTGGAAAGTAGCTTTCATCTTGAAGGGGCATCCGATCTTGATTGATCTGGTCTTCTTCGGTGGATCACACTCGTTCGAATCAGTTTGGCCCTTTCGCTTGGCAGGTTTTCCTCCACAATGGCAGTCGTATTTGCAGTAGAGGTACGGATCTCGTCCAGAGTGACCGATGATGATACCGTACCCTTGATGTGGTGCAAACTCTTTGACGAAGTTGTCAAGTTGTTTGCGTTGTTCAAAAGGCTCAGTGACCATTGGATTAGGATCGGGCAGAGTCGATATGGGTGGTGGTGGTAGCATTAGAGAAGAAGGTGTGTTGCTGGTAGTTGGTGCTTGCATGGAAACGACTGGTTTGGGTGCTTTGTGAAAGGGTGATGTGTGTTAATAGGGGGCTGGACGAGGAAACAGTCGTGAGAAGAAGGAAACAGTGTGAGGGGGTACAGTGGCCGGGGCGGGGTAAAAGTGGTGAGCTGGTGGGGTTGTGGTTGGGTTTTGGTGGGCTTCTCACCTGTGGTGGACTTACTGGTGAACGGGTAAGCCTGGTAGAGTTGTGGTGAGCGTGGTAGGGTTGTGGTGAGCCTGGTGGGATGGTGGTGAGGTTTAGGTACTTGGACTATTGACAGACTTTGAGGAAAAAAAAACCAAAAAGTTCTAACTTGAGATCTAAAACTAGATCTAAGGGCAGAAACGGAACGTATCCAGTGATAGGACTTTCTCTACCTCCGGATACTATTGGCCAAAAGTAAAAGGCCAGAGTAGGTATATTTATAAAGCTGGAAGATATTCCAGAATCAATTCTTAGGTATAGTACAAAAATAGTATTTTTTGTCCATGTTTTTTTTTCAAACGTCAATAATTCAGTCAATTTACGTCACAAAGGTTAATGAACTATATATTCTTGGTGAGGAAATACAGGAGCAGGTTTGTACAGATTTATGATGCTGTATGAAATCATCTCAATTTTGGTGGTATTCCAACCACTTCTCAACAAATTCTCAATCAATGGGTGTTATCCATTTGAGATCCATTTCATAACTTTCTCATAACTTGCTAGGGTCAGTGGGATGCACTGGCCTGCCAGTGACTTGTGATTGGGGGCTGTGATAAGGGTTATGTCATGGACCAAGTCAATCAAAACACCTTGGCTTCAGCAATCTGAGAAACAGAGGATGTGGGTGCTCTTAGTAAGGTCAAGTATTGTCCCCTCCGTAAGGTTACTGTCAAGGCCATCTGCCACATGACAACGGCAAAACTGGCCAAACTAGCTTACACCGGATGTTCCCATTGGGACATCAAAATCTTAAGATTGCTTACAATCTCTCTTGGTCTTGCAACTGGATGCCAGGCCGGCGCTCTTGGCCTTGGTAACAGGTATAAAAATAACAAGCCAATGCAAATATTCACCATGTAGGTGTGGTGTTTGCTCGTCGACGAGCGCACACGAGTCGCCTTTGAGGCACACGAGTCGCCTGTCAGCCCTGAGCCCTGTGTACAGGACCACGGACTAACAAACACACATGTAAATATATGTAATACATATGTAATTATATGAAACTTGTCTAAAACCATAAGAATTACAACTCATGGCTCAGTTTCAAGAGTCACTTAAGTAACAAGACTTACTAGGACTTAACTAGTAATAGTAAACCTAACCCAAACCTAACTCAAAGAAAAGCAAACCTAAGCGCCAACCACAAGTTGACGCCTAGATCTGGAATATATAAACTCCTCTTCTTCCCACTCTAGAAGAAGGACCAACTTATTATCATTCCACAATTCCACATCACAACTTACTTGATTCTTACCTAGAATATTGAGTATAGTGATTTTATTGTATTTGATCTTATAGTTCTACAACCTTCCTCAAGCCCTTGTAAGCTTTAAAGTGGTGGTTCTAAACTAGTGGGACTATATATTTATAGAACCAAGCTTTAGAATTGCATAGGATACCTCCTGAGTTGAGTGTAAAGTATCCGGCGGAACCTTTGAGCAATCAGAGTGTAAAGTTCTGCAGGCTCTATCCCCAACAGAGCTCTTGAGTAAGCTCCTTTGAAGGATTACTCAGCCATCCCACTGGCTTTAAACCCTCTCCTTAGAGGTCAACTAACTGAAGTCTTTACTTGTGTGTACCAAGTAAAGACTTTGTTAATCTTTATTCCACCCGTACTTCACCTTTTTAGTGAAGAGTCAGCCAAAAAGTAGCTGACCCCTCACAACTTGGGGGCCTCATCCGGTTTTTGTTCCTACAGACCTCTTTCTGTCCAGTCTCATTTTGTTTTACTTTACTTCTCTTTTATATAATAAAATTGAAAAATAATACAAAAAATATCTATTTCTTTTCCTTCAAATTCTAGAATTTCCATTTTTTCTTTCCTCTTGTTTTTTTTAAGATCACATTTAATTGTGATCACAAGTATTTCCTCAGTTTGTAGATTCAATATACTAAAGTGTTGTTCAACTGTAATTGAAATATTCACAATTCTTCTTCAGAAGAGTCTACTCAATTACATTAAAAGACACCCCATTTTTTTTCAATTAAGTGTGATATTTCATGTACACACTGAGAAAAGAGAATTAACAAGCTATTACATACATATATAGCATCATTTATACTACTTGTCTTTTAGTATTTGTGCTACATATATATTATTGTCTGTGTGCAACAGTAATTCCACATTGTGTTGAATTATTTGACAAAAATAGTGGACAGAGCACGTGTGTAGTTTATTACACAGCGTGTCAAGGAAGTGTAGTGTAATTTACATATACTCAACATTTCCATTCTCATAAATTTCAACGTCAAATTCTATAAGCATATTAGCCTTATAGAACTGTCAAGAGTTGACAGATTCGATCACCTGTCACATTTTCCTCGGAGCCGGGTAATTTTCTTTAGTCCTGCTCCTCGATCATATTGATACAGGGACCTCTACAACCCTCTACCCTCGGAAATCACCCCACATCATCATAATCCGAACGATCACGACATTCGGACTGATATCTCTCGAACGACATCAACTTTTGAAGACTATTGTCAGTGTTGCTTGGTCCACGCGTTGTTGGCTTCCCGCTACAAACGCCAGGACCATTCGTCCTGCATTAAGATAATTCAATTCCAATCGAATCATCAAAATTGCGACGTCGACCACCTTCATAAATACCTTTGCCATTATCGAACACACAAATTCAATACTAAAAACAAATTATCGCATCTTCTTTTCTCAATACTGGAAAGCTCTGATAAAGAAAAAGTGAAGTAAGTTAAACCAACTTACTATTTTGTTCTATCTTGTTCTATTTTTTTTTCTTTTCTCATTATTGAAAAGCCTTAACATTTGGTTTGAATCACGTTATTATTAGTGACTTCATTCGTTCTGGAAGCTTCCACTCAACCACACCAAACAATACGATCAGAAGTTATAAAAACCTACCGAAGTTCTCCTCTAAACGATTCCTTCCTCAGACGATTTCAGCTGTTTAATCGTATTGCAACTATCAAACTCTTGTTAGTATTTCCCCACTCGCCCTATTACCATTTTGTAGATTGTCATATTCAGTTTATTATCTCTTCATTTTTCGATCACTTTATTCCTTAGATCACAGTTCCTACAAGCCACCAAGCAAAAAGCATTAGCATTTACAAAGTCGGTGGTTATTATAGTTTTTTATTGTAATTTAATTCGCTCAAACTTGTTAGATCAGAGTCTGATCTTGCATTTGATTCTTTCTCTTCTCTGTTACCTATTTTCGAACCGTCCTCTCATTTTTTTTCTTCAAGTGGATCCATTAGAGTGCAACGATCAATCTTCGTTTCGAGATCTAGCGAATCGAATCCAAGACGTTGCAAGCGAAGTCGGGACCTATTCACCTTGCAGTACCCCGGCTATCAACGGTACCATCGCATCAATTGACGGGCAATCAGTTGTATCGGAAACCACACCGTTACCATCTCGATTCCAGCCAGAAGCAACCAATACACCAACACCATCAGGTAACATTCTTGATTACATTCAAGACCCAGGTGATTTCTTTTGAAGTTTTGTTATATAGCTTCTATTCACATAAACTCTTTAATAACATCTTTCACTGTTGATTCCGAACTTATAGACCAGATCGAGGCAGTCAACCACTTGGAGAGTCAAAGTAAGCAGCCCTTGCTTTGAAAACTTTTTTTTTAATCTATTTCTGGTTTCTAATTCAAAGATTTGTCTTTATCATGTCTGCTCGACCTCGGACTCGTAGTGAATCAAGGAAACGAGCTAGTACAACCGACCTTGCAAGTGACCAACGAAGCGAGGCCGGTGAGTCAACCAATCGCCCAGGAGGACCAAGCCATGCCAGTGGATCAACCGGGCGGGGGAGACCGCGGACCAGAGGTAAGAAAGTCCTCCCTATTACATCAACATATCAGATCAGCAACTGATCCGTTGATTGCAGGTGAACCAGGCCCATCAACCAGTACCTCAGCAGATCGACCCAGAGGTGACCTACCTATGGACTTCGCTGAACGCACAATACGTGCGTTGGGAAGGGGCCAGGGAGTTAGGGAAGGATCACCCCGACGCCAAGAAGATGTGGAAGAACACCATCTTCGAGGCTCGAAGGATCTGGAAGCGACTGATGTTTCAATTCAGGTACCCAGACGAAACAATCCACAACCATATCACAAGATGGTTTCGACCGGGCACAACCTCATGGAGACCGTTCTGGATCGATCCGTTCGACTTCAGGGTCTTGCCAGAGGATCAAGTTCGCATGCCTCAACCTCAAACAAACCATCCCAAGCAGTTCAACAAGAGAACTACCAACGGTTGATCCAATCAATGGGACAACAACCGCAAGAAGAAGTCCTCGATTTCGACCTCCGAAGCCGTAGTGAAAGCCCAAGTAGCCATGGGTCAGTACCTCATTTGTCAAGAGACTCGGGAGCGTTTCGGACGGGGTCATCAAGGCAACTGACTCTAGAGGATGAACGGTTAGTTCACCTTTTTCATTCTATTCTTCATCATGAATTGATTCAACCATGGACTAATCAGATTATATCCACTTTGCACCCTGTAGTCCATAGGTCGTCTCAAGATAAAGAACAACTAGCTTATTTCAGTGAATGTGTTAAGAAGATGCATGAGAATATTAAAGTTGTTCATGGTAAACTTGGATTTGGTTTAAATAATTACAATTCAATCTTGTCAGACCTTGTCCACCATCTTGAAATACAACACAATGAATTGATCAGTGAGAACCAAAAGTGCCACAGTGAGTTGATTGAGTTATTGGATATTAAAAAGATCCCTTTAGACAAAGAATCTCTAAAAGAGATGAGTGATTTAGTGAGTAAT